ATTCGGATATTATAAGTAATTCCTTAATGACAGCTTGTAGTGCAACTATTTTGTTAATTGACGGTTCTTAAATGCTAATTTTTTAAAACTGTTCATTCTGTAGTCTTGGTTTTTGAATCCACCGAAACAAGTCTTTTTTTAGGGATTAGTTATATTTTATGTAAATATACATGCTTCCGCCTTCTTAAGGACATTTTGGTTTGAATTAATATAAAATTCACTATATCCCTGTGGAAACCGACCGCGTTCTTTATTCCAGTTTGGTAACGTATTATGCAATGGGTAAAAATGAACGATTAAAATAGTAATTAGCATGTTACGAATGGTCAACTTTTTCTACATTAATATTTTTTCTTACTTAAAATTTATTATTGATTACCAAATCTTTTTATTAGCTCCTCCTCTTAATATCAAATTATGTATTATAAATTGTTATATGATTAAAATTCTGTTGTTATCACTCCGGTATACGAGTTATCCAAATTAGATTTTTAATCAATTTTAGGTGGAATTTGATTATTCCTAATGGATAACAATTTGTTTATAATGCTGAAATTAATTCAATATAATATATATAAATGGAGTATATGTAAATACATATATGTATATATACATCCTTTTATTTTTAAGTTGTATATATATAGTAGGTTTTTGAATTTAAGAAAATATATTATTATTGATATTCTACATATATCCTTATTCATATTCAAATTCAAGTTATCAGGAGATTCCACTTTGATAATTTAAATAACTCTCAATTTGTATAAAAAAAATTTAAAAATGAATTTATCGATTGAGTGTAAAAAGCTTTAAGTCATTTTATCCGTGAAGAAAAAAATATTTAACATTAATTACACAACAACTAAGTCATAACAAATAACTCTGGACAATATTAACTTTACAATTCACCTTAAAAATATCGATTTTTAACGTTTTCTTTATCAAATTGGTAATTATTTAAATTATTAAAATACAATCGTCTGCTAAATTGAATGTGAATATGAAGTAATAAATATGTAATACCAATAAAACATTCTTTCTTGTAACTACAATAAACACAATTTAAAAATAATGTATAGTGGGTGAACCACTTTACATAAATATAGTAAAATTACATTGTACAATTAAAATAGTATTTATAATGATGCATTACAAAATCATATTTTGTAAATATAACAGTTTATCTCTATCCCTAGCATTAATTAAAAAAAAACATTCCACCTTGTTTAATTATATTTATTCTGTTTTTTTTTATATTTAATCATTCTAATTATCATATAGTAATGCTAATAGTGATTCTATATTCGTACAAGAAAAAACAGAAAACAAAATTCTAATGCAAATTAGTTTTTTATATTTTCAGTTTTAATAAATAATGATTTCCTTTAAAAAACAAAACAAAAAAACAATTTCATGGATCCAGTTAATTCATTCGCTATATACAATTACATCATCATTATGGTACATACTCTGAAGCTGATTGGCTCTGTGTACCCTGGACATCTGGCCGGTATACAAGAAGCTGAGGAAGCTGGAGAAAGACTGGTCCTAAGGAGAATGTTAATCAACCCCCCTCCAGATCTGATGAAGCGGAGAGGGTAGAACGAGGTAAAAAAAAAAGACAGGAAAAAACCGGTCAACGTATTACCGTCAGTAATTATAGACGTGGCTGACTGTCAGTCTGTCTACTATTAGACCCCGTGTTAAGGTAAAGTCCTCAATGTCTTTAGCATGTTCTGCACTTGGGTTAATTGGTACCGTTTTTCTTTCTTCCTCTTTCTCGAGGGAGTTCCCACTGCTGGTTTAATAAGTTTCTTTGTGTTCCCACCCTATGTTTTTATAGCACATTCTTTTTTTTTTTTCGCCAGAGTTTAAAAAGATGATGAAATTTGACAATCATTGCATTCAGCTTTACGATAATGATTCTGATGGTTTTTATTATGCCTATTTTGGGTTATATTTACTTTTATTTAAAAAAAAAATATCAATATTATTAATACGATTAAAGGTATAATAATGTTTATTACATAATTATTTTTAGTATGATCTCGAAACTCTGTAACGTTGCCCGTGTCCAGAGGGGTTTGTTGAAGGTCGAATGTGTAAAAATTTTCGTGGGGAAACTTTGTCTTGGGTTTTGAATTTTTAGAGGTAACTATATTTTTATGAGATTTCAATTTAAAGAAACATTTAAGCCATGGAACTAGAGAAAAACATTGGACAGAACAGACCACATTAATTGACTCTTGCTTGCACTGTTTTTTAGCAGATGAAAGTAATACAATTTATAGTATAGTCGAGTATAGTGGCCCAAAACAGAGCGAATAAATCCTCTCTAGGCCTTGGAATATCCTCTGCAAGAAAATACTAGATCTTGATACTTGACTTTCAAGCCAGTACTTTGTGCAGAACTCTCTACTAACGTTGTACAACGAACAACAGAATACTAAATTGGGATAATAACCATAATACACATCAGAAAATCAATACAGCTAAAAATTTAATTGATAGAGCCAAACTAATTACAGATAAAATACATATTAACGAAGTAATTACACAAATACATGAAATTCTTCTCCAAAACTGGTACCCCATAAGACTGATTGTTTGTGCGAAAATAGTTTGAATTTCCGGCGAGTGGTGGGGGTAGATCAGAAGATTTAAAAGATAACACTTAATCCGTAAGAGCTGCCGGTTTCTTGCCCCTTTCCAGCACTAGTAGCCAACTCCTACTCTTGAGGACCCTCTTGTAAGAAAGAGATGTAAGCTGGCATAAAGATGGTGAACTATTGTTGCACAATCTACCAATCCATTAAAATACAGTCCACTGCATAAAAGTAGAATGTTGCCTATTAACAACTCACGTAAGCTATTTGCCTTGCCTTAATTTGAAAAGTTGCCTAAGCACTGATAAATGAATTATGAAACAAAGATAAAATGGAAAAAGCAAAGATCTAAAGAATCCAAACATCAATCATCATATTCCTGATCCCAATACCGCAGCTCAGTGTGGGCTAGATCTTGTAGAGCTTGGACCAGGTTTCCCTTTCTTGAGCCAACTCTCTTCTCTTACTCCAATCCTAATACCTCGATACCTCGATCAGAAATACCTCGATTTCTGAACGCCTCTTGTACACTGTCTTTCCAGGATATGCGTGGTCTTTCTCTAGGTCTCCTTCCCTCCACACGGGTCTAGTATGTCTTCCTGGCTGTTCTCTCTTGATTCATTCAAAGAAGGTGTCCGAACCATCTTAGCTTGTGCTCCTCTAGGATGGTTTCAGCCGGTTTGACCTCGAGGCTAGCCCGTATAGTGGCGTTCCGGACCCTATCTCTTCTTACCTTTCCCTCGACCTTCCGAAGGTATCGCATCTCCATGGCTTGAATTCGACTTTTGTGTTTCGAGGTGAGGGTCCACGATTCAAAAGAGTACGTAAGGATAGGGAGAAATGTCGATTTGTAGACTTTTACTAGCTAGCTTCTTAACTATCTTTTTAGACTAGCTACTTTAGTTCGCTTCGTTTATTTTATTTATTGTACATAGAGTGTGATTGTGATCTGTGAACTCTATTATAAATGTGCTAGAGACAGATTGTGATATTTTTCAATAAAAAAAATAAATAAAAAAAGTTCGCTTCGTCATCTCTCTTCTACCCAGAAATCCTCTTCGGAAAAGATAGAACACTCCGCCAGCTGCCCCGATTCTTTTACTCACCTCTTCATCAACATAACCACTTTCGTTGAGATGAGCACCCAGATACTGAAAATTATCTACCTCCTCCAATCTCTCACCACTTGCTCTCATCACTCTCATTATTCTCCGGGGCTTCTTCCCTATTTGCATGCATTTAGTTTTTCCCGGGTTAATCTTCGTGTTTATGGTGGCTATTTCTTCCTGGGGGATGTTGATGTTATATTGGAGGTCTCGATCGTTGGCAGCTAGCAAGACCAGGTCGTCAGCAAATGCCTGTACAGAAAATCTTGTCGGTTGCAGTTTTCGGTGTTCTAACTGGAACTGCCTCATCCTTAGATTAGCCTTTCTAAGTGCCATGTCTAAAACTATTATGAAAAGTAGCGGGGTTAAGCTACATCAATACAAATATAAAAACTAATCAAAACAAGACCAGAAATAAAGTAAAAAAATCTAATCACAAACTATTTTAAAATAGATAATACTAAAAAAACACAATCATGATAAAGAAAATCCTGATCTACAATTTCAGAATGAGAAAAATAAGAATATTAACTCAGACCCCAATCCAAAAAATAATTTTCGATCACTTATATTAGAGGTTTAAGTAATAAAATAGAAAACACTTTTAAAATATATCATTTAAACGAAATAAAGTTTGGGAATAAACCAATTAATATATTGGAGAAATTAGTAGAACTAAGGATATTATTTCAAAGGAAAAATTAACTAATATTGCATATAAAATACAATGCCAGTATTGTGAAAATGAAAGTATATTACGGACAAACCTCACAATGGTTTGAACGTTGGATACAACAGGATAAACAAAATTGCCGGTCTAAAATGAAAAAATCAAAATTAGTTACAGGATTATAGCAGCATACCGCAAATAATGGATGTAAATTTCATTTCCGTATAGCGTCGGTCCTACATAGAGAACAGAATATTAACAAACGAAGAATGATAGAGTCAATATTTATTATTAAAAACCTCAAATAATCGGTAAATCGACTAATGGATGTAGATAATCCACTTTTTACTCTAGCGCAATAAGCAAAATTAAAATATAATATACTGTAATACAACTTCAAATAAAACAACAGATCCCCCACATCAACACAAACAACAACACCCCACTCCGGTATAAAATAAATTCAGTCTTGTATGAATGCGTTAGTGATGAAGAACGCATTTACTCTACGATAGAGGTACTTACATAAATAGGAAACAAATAATATTCGTTTTGTTTTCGTTTTCTTTTCTTAAAATTTTTAACGTTCTATTTTAATTATTTATTTATAACTTTCAGAAATGAAAAAATGACATTCGTTGAAATAAAAGAATGACAAACCGACGGATTATATTATAATGACACATTTTTGAGAAATCTTACGAAGGGGTGCATGGTAAATGGATTATAAATTTTACAACTATTTTAACCAAAATGCTTTGTTATGAAAAAAATTTATAAAATAGAATTAGGACTATGTATGTGACTGATTGTTAAGATGTAGTTTAAAGTACAACAACTAAATTAAAATTAGTTTGCAGGATCTTGAAAATGCCTCCTGAAGCCGAAACGTCGAATAAATAATACATGATGCGATAGCTGTGTATATTTGGTGACCTTTGGCCTAATGTTTTTTAAAAAAAATCAATTTTTAAATTTTTACAGGTAAAAGTAGAAAGAAATTTTCTGGTGCATTTACCCTAAAATATATTTTTTTTCTTGGCTCCTAGGATCCATTGGCCTAGACTTAGGAAAGTGTCTAATATTTTTCGATGCATTTTCTCTTTCTATCACCTTAATGCCTGAAAGATAAATTGGTGTCTGTTAAGTTATTTAGAGGCAGTTGATATTAGAGATGCTTTTGTAAGTTTTTAATTATATCCCTACCAAAATTGTTGTCGCTTTTTGATATTTTTATTAATTGTTTCAAATTTAGATAAATTTCAGCCATTAAAGAATGATGTCATAGCTGGAGAATCAAAATTAATCCAAACAAATCCCAACAAATTACTTTTACCCTCCATCGTAAACCTACTACATCCTGTCCTACAGAATCCTTTAACAATATTCCACTTATCCCTATCGAACAGATCCGTTACCTAGGACTCCTTCTTGACAAATGTCTTATTTGAAATCCTCATATTAGATTGAAAAGACAAGAAACTACTAACAGATTCCGACTACTACATCACTTCCTTGATAAACGCTATAAACTTTCAATATTGTACAAAAAACTTGGACATATGGAATAGAGCTTTGGGATTCCACAAAACCATCAAATTCTTCCCGTATCCAATCCTTAAAATCCAATATCCACCGCAAAATCCTTAATGCTCCTTATTATGTCACAAATAAAATTATTTATAAAGACCTCAACATTCCCTTTGTTAAAGACTTGGCTCGACTAAGACACTCCTCTTTTAATTCTTAACTCCTTGCTCAACCTAACCCTCTAGCTCATAACTTTTTATCCAAAACAATTCCTGAAAACCCTCCGAAGCGTCTGAAAAGAAGATGGCCATGGGACCTTCTAAATTAATTTAATTTTCGATGTGCTACCATTGGGTAGTTTCTTTACAAGTTTTTATTATGATTTATTTATCATTTTAGCATATTTACTTATTGTATATGAATACAGTTGTAAATATCTATACAAAATATATATATTTAGAAAAAAATAATTCAGTATTAAAAATATATGTTTATGAACGTGAAGCTTTTATGATCTAAATATAATCCGGATGATGAACAATTTAATATTGCGTGGAACAGCCTCTTAGTGGATGTTTCAGTTAGTTCGCAGCTATTACATATTCATATCGAAGGTACACAGTGCTCTTGGCAACACACATGCAGAGAAACACATTCATATAGATAGTCCTGCATTGCTGATAACTGCCCTAATTTCATTAGCAATCTGTTGTGAAACCCAAATTTAGAATGACATTTTAAGCTTGTTAAGTGGTTCCAATACTATGTCTAGATCATATGCCATTATCTATCGCGTTATATGTATAATTTAGGAAGACAATCATTAAAATAATATATTCTTGTAGTAATTCAGGGTTTGAAAGTTGAATAATAACCGGCTCATTGTGAGGCGGATTTCGAAAAAGTAATTTCAATAGAAAAATTTAAAAAATAATCTATCTCCGAAAAAAGAAAATCTCTGTTATGAAACAGAAAGTTACATTCGTTTTTAGTGTTCTTTAAAACTCATACGAATAAAATACGAATTTGTACGGTTATTAAAATTTCAGTAAGTTAGGTAATCGATTTTCTAAGAGGTTTTTTTTTTTCTGACTTTTGAGTAAATCATTAATAGATAAAATCTTCTCCAAATTCAACATATGTACAACCGTTGAAAAGTTGAATTATGGATTTTCCAAATCACATCAATAAGCTTAGGATTTCTTTAATTTTTAAGCTAGAAATTCAGAAAAGCAATATATATATATTATTTATGGTTCAAAAATTTTTTCGAAATCGACCATTTTGTGAAGCATACAGAGCCCTTATCTTTGTCGAATCATTTTTGTAGCTGGCTAAAAAAATTCATAGTACAATTTTAGTATTCCAATTGCATTGATTGCGGTTGGTAAATTTCGTTTCTTTACCTGCTAAATACAAATGTCTAGAGTAAGATATTTTCGGGGAAAATAAAGTTGGTATTCGTTTTTTTTGGACCCAAAAACTTTAAAATATGAATTTTCATAGTAATCGAAACATCAAAATTTTAACTTAAGATTTTAGTGAAGGCTGGACTTTTCGAAATTTTGGCGTCAATCACAAAAATTGTGATAAACTTCAGAATGACTCCACCGAATCACACGAAAATTATTAAGGACTTAGAGCTTAGAACCAAAGATATAAAATACAAATATTTGAAAAGTTATTCCAAATTTCTAGCTTACAAGTAATGAATGAAATCCAAATCTTATTTATTTATAATGGATTAGAGATTGTTGACCTTGATATTAAAATATGAGAAAGCATAACTTACAAAATACAAAAATAAATAGTCTTTTATTAGTTATGCCGAAGTTTCGACCCACTATGGTTTTTGTTATTTAAGAAACTTTATAACCCATATAATACCATAATCAATATTGTTTTCTTATATTGCACATAGAAATAAATCGATCTCTGTATAATAACTTCAAAATTCGGGTAATTGCTATGCAAATATTTATAACATATATTTTTTTGATATTATATAATTTTTTTTTCTCGGACCAATCAATCGAATTCGTTGGCAAGAACAGTCGGACATGGTTCTAATATTTTTCAACCCAGTAATTCCAAAAAAGTTTTAATAAAATCGGTGGCCTGACGTTTGTAACTTCCCTTTGAAGTAAGAAGATCTCGAGGCCTTCTTTTCAGAAATAGGATTATCATGAATAGAGGAGGAAGGAACGCTGGGAACAAGTGGTTTAGGATGGGTCTGGAGTTTATCATAAAATAACGGGTAGCTGGATCGGGTCAAATCAGTGACATATGGGACATTGGAAGGACTTTATGAATGATTTTATTTGTGACAAAATATGGAGTGTTAAGGATTTGAAGGATTGGATACGGTAGATTAGTGGAACGCAAAGCTCAACTTCGTATGTCCATAGACGTCTTATTATAGTAATTTAAATGAGCCTAGTAAGTGCAGGAGCAACCGTATCACTTAAAAGTAAACTAATTTGTTTTTACTTCTCACTTTAAGAAGTTCTGGATGAATAAATTTTTATTATTTCATGTAAAATATCTATTTACTTCATTTTAGTTCTGGTTATTCTTTAATTGCAGGAACAGGTTTATTCTAGCTTTAAATCTTTAATTCGCTTCAAACTTTTCTCTGGCTGTTACATTTCCTGCAATAGTTGCAAACAAATGATGTGGCTATTTTATGGGTTAGAGATATTAACTATTAAGTGCCCATCTCGGAGCATCTCCTTTTTTATATCTTAATATCTATTACATATCGATGAATATTTCTCATCCAACATCTGTTGATATATTTTTTCTAAATTAGCATTACGTCCATTATCAATTTAAGGTAAAAACAGTTCACTATATTTATTTAAGAAAAATTCTAATATTTTCAGAAACACCTGGTTTTATTACCATTAACTGCGGAAATTAGAAGTTCAGCTCAGTGACGGGGTATGCATTTTAATTATTAAGACTGAAAACTATAATTAAATTTTTTATATTAGTTTATATTATAATATAGTTTAATAACTGTAATAATAGTTTAAATATTATGAATGTAATTTGTTAAATTGGTGAAGAAACGATTAGATGTCTCCATATGTTAATTATTTTTGAACTATGAAGAATCTTTCATTTTAAGCTGTTGATAAATTTCGTGACAGAAACGTTTCTTAGAAATAGATCATTATAAAAGTGAAAACGATTTTTTTGTTTAAATTTACTTGGCATGCTTAAAAAAAAGTCTACCAAGTAAGCCTACTATAGCTTACTCACCTTTCTCAATGTCTAAACAATTATGTATAATTCTAGGTCTATAATTTTTCGTTTGAGAATAAAATCTCTGGGAGAAGCCGTTTTCCATGTTACTGGCATGACACTTACTACCATTATTTAGATTTCATTTAATTTTCAGTAAATATATATAAAATATATATATATATATATATATATATATATATATATATATATATATATAAATCTAAATTAACCTTTGGTCTGTGTTTGTAAAAAGAAAAGTCTTATTTGTGATTGTATTAATTTCTTTTGAAGTTCAACCATTTCGTTCTGTTTTTTTTTATCGTTAAATACCAAAGCAATGTAAACTACACTCATATTTTTATAATACACTTTAAATTAGTTAACGTGACTCATTAACACTGACACAAAAAATTAAATTTTTCCAATGGATTTTCTGTTCTATCCATTTTACGAGTGAAGACACCTTATTTCCCTAGTAAAATTTTGCACACAAGTATGAAAACTCGTACATTTTTCCAAAAATATAAAAAAAACTATTAATAATTCGATTTGTTTCCTTTCCTTTGATAATTCAAACTTCATAATAATTCGAAGTCTCGAAAGTTCAATTGTTTCTTGTAGTTCCTTTGATTTCAAAATATCGAGAGTCAACTGCAATACGTTTGCTGCGAATCCGAAAGCAAAAGTATTTTTTGAAAGCATTGGATAAAATTTGAATTGATTAGCACATAATTGATCATCTGATCACCAACTTCCCTCCAAATTTGAGCCAAATCGAACGGACGGTTTTAGAGATATAGACGTTTCAATGAAAACACGTTTTCGCCCAGAATAGAAAATAGGGGATAGAATTCAATAAAATTGATGCTACATCATTTTCTTACCCTTCCTTCAACTTACTTAG